AACGTGCGCCTCCTCTTCCTCTTGGGACCGAAACATGCCCTAGCTCCCTTTGCTCCTCTCGGCCGAGTAGGGAGGCCCCATTTCCGGTTTCTCCGGTCACCTTATTCCTCTTCGGTTGCGGTTTACATTCTTCTCCGGTCATAACTGCCAGTCACTTTCTTGTAACGGTTTTTCCCGCGCTATGAATTTGGTAACCCTCGTTCTTGGGTTTGTGCGTGTCCCTTACCGTGAGCATCTCCTCCCCTTGCTCAACTATAAATACCCCTTTGAGGGAGCATTTGAGGGTTGCAATTTTTTTTGTTTTGAGATTTTGGAGAAACTTGTTGGAGGCTTTTATCTCGTGATCTTTCTTACTCTTCTTATTTCTTGAGTTAGCAAGAAGCCAATGTTAGATTTCATTTGTCTTTGAAATCTGATTATTCTTCATCACAGCTTTGATAGATTGGGTTGCAATTCTGTTCCTTTTGTTGCTTCTATTCGAATACATATGGGAGATTTATTTCTTAGTTTTGATTAATAGTTTAGGGGGTGCATTTCTGTTCCTCTCGTTGCCTTACTCGAATAAATATTTGGAGATACTTTTTTTTTTGTTTGAATAGTTATTTGGGGTTGAATTCCTGCTACTTTTGCTGCCCTATTTGAATACACATTATGTTTAGTTTGAACAGTTATTTGGGGCTGAATTCCTGCTACTTTTGCTGCCCTATTTGAATGCACTGCTCTATTTGAATACACATTATGTTTAGTTTGAACAGTTATTCGGGGCTGAATTCCTGCTACTTTTGCTACCCTATTTGAATATACATTATGTTTAGTTTGAACAATTATTTGGGGCTAAATTCCTGCTACTTTTCTGCTACTTTTGCTGCCCTATTTGCTACTTTTGCTGCCCTATTTGAATACACATTAGTTTGATCTGAACATTTATTTGGAGCTGAATTCTTGCTCTTCTTGCTTCGAATGCATGTATTGGAAATAGGAAATATTTTTGGTTATGGAGAATCAATTTTGGGGCTCGTCTTTTTGTTCTTCTCACTGTCTCTATTCGAATGAAGATGTTGGAAATCTGTTTTGTAGTTTTGATCAGTTTTGGGGGGCTGGTTTCCTATGCTTCTTGCTGCCCCTATGTGAATATACATGTTGGAAATTCGTTTTTTGGTTTTGAATATTATTTGGGGGCTGACTTCTGTCTTTCTTGTGTCCCTATGCAAATAAATATATTGAAGGCTTTTCTTTGGTTTTGAGAATTAATTTGGAGTTGTAGTCTTACTCTCTTTGTTGCCTTATTCGAATATACAGTGAGATTGTTTGATTCTGGACAACTAATTTTGCCCCTTCCTTTGGTGGCTCGGTTTGGTTTTCTTGGCTTGGTTTGGTTTTCCAATAATCTAGTTTTGGTCTTCCTTTGGTGATCCAATTTAGTTTTTGATGGTTTAATTTTTAAAATCTTGTTGAGTTCGGTTTCGTTCAGTGGTGGCTCGGGTTTTGTCCTTGCCGAGCTCGGTTTTATTCAATGGTGTTTATGCTTAAGCCCCTTGTTATATTCAACTCCTCTTGCTTCCTGAAAATTAAATGATATAAAAATAGAAGTATATCACACTTAGGGAAGTTAATAAAGCATGTAGTGATCATATATGGGCTTTAAAATTCAAGCTTAGAAGTGGAAGATGGATGTTATAGAAATGCTTAAATGATTACTTCTCTCATTTTCTTGATATGAAATATACAAAATTTTGTTGGATGAGCATATGAAATATTGAGGTGGCCTATTAGTTCGAGATGAGGGGCAACAAACAATGATGCAAAGAACCACTGATCAACTTTTCTTATAGCTGAAAATATAAAATCAATATTCAATTAATGAGATGCCCTTTCACTCGCTTAAGTCGTCGACTGCTCTAACCCTTTTCAAAGGTTTGAGAATTGGTAGTTAGAAAGAACATATACACAATAATCTATTATACAAATACTACACTTGCAAAAACTTGCAAAAGGAGCAGATATCACATCCACAAAATGATAGGTACCACATTCAAGAAATGATAAATACCACACCAGAGACACTATACATTGGTTAATATATATATACACTTGATAACACTCACATATACACTCCGCATATCATATAATACATTTCATACACTACATATAGATACACCACATATACTACACATCAAACCCCACATGACAGATATTACATTTGTAACACACCACATACTACACATCACACCATACACGACAGATATTACATTTGTAACATATCACATATTACACACCAGATACTATAAGAACAAATACTATACTTCTTTTGAGAATTCAGATACTACATACCATTCATTTAAACGTCATATATATAGTTGCACCATACCTTGATAAGTTCAGATATTATCTGATTCACATATACGTTAAACGATAGGGTGTAGGGCTGCCCGACTATAGGGGTGATTCGTTGGTGACCTCTAGTTGATATTGATAGGTTGACTTCAATATGTCAGTAGCCTGGGGGATCGAGGAAATAAAAAGAAGTCTAGTCTGAGCCTATCCCCAAATTGAAATCTGATATCCCACTTCGAGATTTTCATATGCTCATCATTTAGCCTTTCTTTCACAATCTGCAAATGCTTATCTAATCCCTTTTATGTCATTGCAATTTATTTTGAAATGTCAACAATGCTGTCATTGCAATTTATTTTGAAATGTCAACAAAGCTAATCAGGTACATTTAGTTGTTTCAATTTTATTTTTTTACTGCATATTTCTTTCTTTACTGCATAGTTTTTCGTTTCTTTATATTGCTTTACTTTGATAGTTTTCTTTCATTTTTTTCCTGTTAGAGTACTTTACTACGCAGTTATTCCTTTCATTTACTATATCGTACTATAGACATTCATCTGTACTCATACTTTTAAATATTTGTTTTCCTAGCATATTTATATAACACCCTAGGATGGGCCGTTCGAGGCATGATTTTTTCTCTTTTATTTATCCTTTTCTCGGGACGAGACGACGAAGCCATCAAATGACGATTTATCCCCGGGCAGCGATCGAGACAACGACGTGGGCGAGTGAAGATTCATCTCCGAGCAACGGTCGAGACGATGACAATAAGCGACAGGAGGAGCTCCAGGTGAACCTCGATAGATTTAAATAACATACCTATAGGACGTCGATGTCGTTTGTCTAGCACGACGTAAATCCTCATACACCATCGTTTAGAACTTTCTACGATTTTACATTGTACGATATAAGTCCTAAACTTTTTAGGATTCCGAAGTTGTCGTCTGATAAGACATAAGTCCTCCTATTTTCTCGGGCGATTCCGAAGTTGTCGTCTGATAAGACATAAGTCCTATTTTCTCGGGTCATTTGCATATGATATGCGAATACAAGCCCCAAATATCTAAATAATTTACATTACTGAAACATCACATAATTTCTTTTTCAAAGATGTAAAGTCGAACCATAGGTTAGTTTGAGATGTCACTGAACATTTGTCAGTATCTTCAACATCTCCTACTTTTCAGGATTCCAGAAATAACTGTTTCTATTTAAACCTATTCCACTTGACTTTTCCTACAAGCAATTGTGAAAACCTAAACTTTGAATTCTTGAAGACGAAACCTTTGATCATTATCGAGAGTTTTCTCAAATGACCCCCGTCATTTGGGATGTAATTAACTATAAGGGTTTGCCTCTATAGGGAATTAAAAACCCAGATTAATCTAAACCCTATCTAATCTGTGTATTAGATAGAAGAATTTATTGGCTATAAATTTCGCAGACCAAAATAGAGTCATAAACTTTTAAGTTTAGATAGTTAAGTCTACCAATAAATGATACGTTCATCCATCGACATGATATATCATTTATGGTATTGTGCTCAACTATTTAAACTATTAGATATATGAGGTCTATCCGGTCTCATCATTTTCCATAAATAAAAAAATATATATACCATTTTCACAAAATTAAAATTTACATTATATATTATATTAAATTTAATTTTTAAAATCTTATTTTCAAAAAATATATTAGCCGATAGTTTGTTGCTTGGGAGAAGCTAAAAGGTATTAGGGAGACAGGACAACAGGAATAACCTGTAGGAAAGGGGAATGACTGGGTGTCGGGGTAACAGAGGGGAGTTTGGCCGCTGAGAGGTGGGGAGGAGATGGTTTGAGGAAAGTGAAAATGGAGGATACAATCATCACCTTGGAGATGATACAACCGAATACAACCCACAAAGGGAAAAAGAACTCCAGATAGGAATTTGAGAGCAAACACAAACACTACTTGCCCCCATACACACGGAAGATAACAATTTATAGACTCCACAGGACAAAATAAACTTCTACGCAAAATGTAGGAAATCTCTCCCAAAACCTAAAACTAAGACTCGTTACTCAATCTCATGCATATATCTAACCCTAAACATAATAAGTTTATTTTTACCCAATAATAATAATAATAAAAGGCTAAATTGTCTTTTGGCATGCAAAAGACGCACTTGCCCTTAGACTAGGCATATAGACGTAACAAAGTCCTCCGCGAGGATTATTTCAGTCAATATTAAAAGAGTTTGAGGACCGAATTTCTATTTTTGTAGACTCTGGGACTCAAATGACCCCTGCAAAAAATTAAAGGATTATTTTGACACTTTTCTGTTAAGAAAGCATTGAGAACTAAAGTGGGTGACTGTTGTCCATACATAATTGTATGCAGCACTCGAGAACTTCAATGAATCATAATTCCCCAATTTTTCATTATGGTTTGAGGCTTGTCTGGTACTGTTTTTTAATAAGATTCATAGACGGTTCCATCTAAATTGTCTCTCTTGGGGAACTAGATAAATTTAGAAATATTATGATTGTTTTGGCAGGTATGGTTGACATCAGCGACTGAATATTGTTTTATGTTTTATTTGTGTTTGCCATTGTTGATCGCATTCTGCCACTAGATTTACATTGTTGTGACCCTCTTTGTCCTTTTCAAAATCTTGGCAGATGAATCTGGTTGAGGTAAACCGATGTGAGGAGTTATCAAGTCTAAATGAGAAGTTTTTTGCACAAACATCCTCAAGCAATCGATCTTCACCCGTTTCTGCTTCTACTGATGACATATTTGGAGATCCCATATTATCCCCTTGCGTAGGGGATGATTACCAGGTGGAAATTCCATCCATGTTGGTCGACTCCCTACACCTTCGTGCCTCTGAATTACCGTGCAAAACTGGGTTGAGCATCCCAATAATGTGGGTGCACACAGATGATGCCAAAAGAGAACTAAAAGATTATTGCACTTCTTTGGGGAGTAGATGCTTATCTAATGGTTTCAATCACAGCCACTTGCCTTCTTTATGTTCAGTATTAAAAGCTGAAATAATGCAGATTAATGAGTGCAATGGATGCAGTCCTTTACCTGAATCTCGAGTTTCTTTATGGAGTGAGGAGGAGATACAGAGTTTTCTCCTTGGTCTGTACATTTTTAGAAAAAATCTGGTTCAAGTGAAGAAATTTATTGGGTGCAAGGATATGAAAGATGTTCTATCCTTCTATTATGGAAAATTCTATCGCTCTGAGGCCTATCACAGATGGGCAGATTGCAGAAAGTCAAGGAGCAGAAAATGCATACAGGGGCAGCGAATTTTTACTGGGTGGAGACAACAGGAACTACTGTCACGCTTACTGATGGGAATGCCAAAGGAAGAACAAGACTTGCTGATAGAGGTTATTTTATGCAAATGTTTACTGCTCATTTATATTTATAATTGCATTATATTTAATGCAAATGTCTGCATAGGTTAATGATAATTATGACGAAATCTTTCTTTCTGTCACTGACTTCATCATATCACGAAATCAATATCTTTGATTTTCGTTTTTTCTTATGTATATAGCTGTGCAAGTTTTAAAATATTGACATACTGCTCCATTTGTACTTTTGCTATATGTGAACTGCAAGGCAGATGGCTTGGCGGACCACCTGATTTTTAGTCAATTTTGTAAGACATTTTGGTTTATTTTTTGGAGATTTAGGTGAACGTCAGCTTTCCATTTTGTTATTTTGGTTAATGCTCATCAAGACAACTAGAATCTTGTTGTTATACTTTGTGTTTGGTTTGCAGAGTTCTTGACAAAATTGCATTTTATTTGGAACTATAGTCATTTTTTTCTTATTTTTCCTAATGTCATATTCTTCATATTATGATTTAATATAGGTGAATCGGGAATTTATTCATCATTCAAATGTTATCTATAATTTAGTAGATTTATAATTAGCTTACAATCATTTGATAGGCATATTGGATAATGGTCTGCTTCAAGGATTGTGCTTGTTTCATTTAACAACAAATAAATGGGTTTTGTAATAGCAGAAGTCCTCATATTAATGGGTGTTTGTGTTGTATTCTATATTTGACACATTGAAAGCGGGCATTGCATATGGATTCTTCTGAGATCAATGCTCTTTTATGCGTAAAAGGATTTCTAAGCAAGTGAAGGTTGAGGGAATGACGTTAAATCATTTTTTTAATTTTCAGCTTGCGTTTATTTTTTTTTAATCATATTCATGCTCAGTAGGTTTCTCTAATTGCCTTCACCACATAGGGGGCATATACAAGGAGTGTTGGGCCTGCCATGATCAGTGTTATAAGGGACTTTGACCATGGTCTTCAAAACCTACTGTACTAAGAAAGGTGCACAGTATTGTCTTGGGTTTCCCCTGTCGTTCTAAGAAAAACATGCATGTGTTCCGCTTCTCTCTCGTTTTCTCTCTCTCTCGCGCGCTCTCTCTCTCTATAGGGTTTTAATTTTTTTAAATTGGATAAGTTTTAGGTCGTGTATAATGTGCCAGCAAATAAATCTTCCAAGTCACCTAACTGATTTAAAACCAATAGAAGCTTGTTTTCCATCAAATGTATGCTTCTTAACTTAATAGAACATATTAGAGAATCATTATACTATTTTTGCACACCTTGAAGAAATTTATAAATTGCCCACATTCAACTAAATTTGACTACCTCGTGTGGGTATTGGTTCGTTTTCTAGCTATTTTTTGCATTCGGGGGTATTGGTTCGTTTTCTAGCTATTTTTTGCATTCAGGAGGAATTGAAGCTCAACTGGCTGTCTTAGGGAGAATTTTAATTCTCATTTTTGGGGGTTTTGGTTTGTCTATTGGTTGATTCTCGCTTTGGGTCATCAACTTTATCTTCTATGCAAAATTTAGCAGCTGGAGATTTTCTTATGACTAACTTTGAAGCATAGAAGTTCTTACAACTTTTGAATCATTATGCCAGTTTACATCTGTAGCTTTTTTGTTCCTAAAAGACGTGAAATTTAAAGTTGTTCTACTCCATAAATGTTTGCTCCTCCCATAGCGTTAACACAGAAATATTTTGCATCATTAAAAGATTTTTATTTCTTTAAAAATAAGTATTTTAATGATTAACTGCTTTAAAATTTTTCATTTGCTTATTTAATGATATATATTTTGTGCATTAAGTTGCTTTAAATAAGTAATCTTGATGTAGGATGAAATTCTTAGGATGGTGGTTGCTAGATTTGCTTATGGTGTTGACTGCTTTAAGACTTCTTCACATAAGCTATAACATCTTTGTTCACGGAAGGTGAATCCTAACCTTTCCTTAGGATTCCCTTTGCCAACTCCCGTTCTGACTTAGAGGTTGTCACACTTTCACACTTCTTCATTTGCTTATGATGTAGAAATAAATTTTTCGCATCTCAATAGGACACAGTGGAGAAAAATGATTCATGTAGCTGACCCCACTTAGTGGGATAAAAGCTTTTTGTTGTTGTTGTCGTCGTCTAAATTAAGTTGTGTCTTTCATCTTTTAAGTTTGTTATTCCCTTTGGTTGTTTGTACGTTGTGTTGATAATCTATTTGTTTTGTTATTTTTTTTAATGAAAAAGGGGCCCTTAATTTCGTGCAAAATTTTGATATTTATTGTCTTGTTGCCTTCAATTTATTATGACTTGGTCACTTTGTAAGACCTTGTGATATGAAGATTTTGATCTGTGCCATCTTATTGATTTAAATTTTCCTCTCCAAGAGGTCCAAGTTACTTTCATACTTATTCATTTGCTTAGTTAAAAATAAACATTTCCATATCTAAATGATGTTGTGTGTCTTTCATCTTTTAAGGTTGTTAGTCCCTTTGGTTGTTTGTATTTTGTGTTGATAATCTCTCTGTTTTGCTCTTTTTTTAATCATGAAGGGACCCTTAATTTGGTGCAAAAATTTGACTTTCTATTGTCTTGTTGCCTTCAATTCCTTACAACGTGGTCACTTCGTAAAACCTTGTGATGTGGCTAACTTTAAAAGTTTGATGAAGCAATAATAATTTTTTTATGCCTAGAACAATAATAATTTTTTTATGCCTAGAACAATAATAATTACCAGCTTGAGGATTATTCCAGTATGCCCAAAGGTCCTCTTCATTAGCTTCTTTGCTTGTCCCTTCATGCATATGCATGGTATCAATTTTAAAGCACCTACAATCATCAATACCATGGATAATTCGGAATTGTCCCACCTTTAATTTTGCCAACCATTTGAAATAGTCCTGGTTTTGGATTGCTCTTAGAATCTCTAAAAGTGAATGCCATTATTGGTTACTGAATGAACTTCTCATGGGAAGAAATGCTTTTTTTTGTGAGGCTGAAGAACGAACACAAGTGATTATTTTGAGAACATGGCATCTAATGGCATTGGGCAGTACTTTCAATGTCATCAGGCCACAAATTCAGTGTGATAGTCATGCCATTGTAGGCATCCAAATGAGGAACCATAAACTTTCATGGGAAAGGCTTCTCCATAATCTTAGTCACAAAGTTGAAGATAATCATTACAAATTTTCACTGGTTTCATTTATATAGATAGTCTTTGTCTTCATTTCACCTTAGATTTGTGAATGAGGTCCCTCACCTTACTTTTTATGCATCCAAAGTTATTGTTCATGAACTTGTTGACTTCAAGAATCAATTTAAAATCTCTCAAATTAACCAATTTGTCAGGCCACTAAGGCTTTCAATGAGGGAAAATCTTCATTGGAGGAGCTTGTTTTTACTCTAAAGGCTGCAGTTGGCGTCGTTGCTCTGGTAGAAGCCGTCGCCATTGGTAAGGGCAAGCAAGACCTCACCGGCTTCATGCTCGATCCCAACAGAACTAATCAACCAATCCTTTCACGCGCCGCCGAAATACCCACCGGCAAAGCCTGCTCCACCCTCGCTTTGAACGACATCATCAAATTTCTCACCGGTGATTTCAGACTCAGTAAAGCAAAATCGAATGATCTGTTCTGGGAAGCCGTCTGGCCTCGTCTTCTCGCTAGAGGTTGGCATTCTGAAACTCCCAAGCATTTTTGTACCAAAAACACCATCGTATTTCTCATCCCGGACGTACGAAAATTCTCGAGGAAGCTGGTGAAAGGTGATCAGTATTTCGATTCGGTGATGGATGTTTTGAGTAAAGTGGCATCCGATCCTCAGCTTCTTGAGCTGACAACTGAAGGAGAGGAAGGCAATGTCATTGCCAATGGTGAGAGCCTAACAGCAGCCTATAATCACCGCCATCCTTCTTATCTCCGTTCAAGGTTTGCCGACTGTAATGCTGATTTCATCAAATTTACTGTGGTGGACACTAGTTTGGTTGATGTTGCAGCTGGCTCTTCTAAGCTGAGGGGACTGCGCAGCTTACCTTTCGAAGTAGCTGGTCACACTAATATGGAAAAAACTAATTGTGACAGCTCCACTGAACACTCTACCGATTCTTTTTCAAGCAACAAGGTATCCTCAGACCAACCTGAAAGTTTGCCTAATGATTCAAAGCCGGAGGGAGGAAATATACAGCTGAACGAAACAATTCAGATAGCGCCATTATTGAAGCGACAGAGACTAAGTGCTTGTAAGCAAGCAATGAGAAATGGCTGCCATAAGTTATTTGCGGAGAAGATAGACTCTGACTCTGACATGAAAGCAGTCGAAACTTCAGAGAAAGCATCATCCACTAAATCATCTGGCTCTTCATTTGAAGATAGCTTTTATCATGAGAAGCGTCCGCGAGCTCTCTTCGATTTAAACCAGCCTCAGTTTCCGCTGGACTTTGACATGGAGCCCATGTACCGAACTTCCAAACCGCAGAGTTTTGATGGTTTTAGGATAGCTTGGAATCAAAACAGCAGTGCTGATGAGGAACCATCTTCTAATGCCCAAAGGCATGGTAACCGGAACAGGCTGCCAACTGCGAAGGCGCTCGAAGCTTTCGCTTGTGGATTTTTAAGCGTCGGGCGAATCGGAAAGGAAGTAAAGAGAACTCGGCTGCATGGTATTAGGTCAAGATCTCGCCGGAAAGCTGAAGCCCCGTTGCCCTCAACTGCCATCTTCGCAGCTACAGCTCCAACCATCGATTTTATTGATCCTAATCTTGTAATCCCTGAAGTTAGATATCATACTAACTTGTTTGCAGAGCCACAGATTAAATGTGAGAGGACGGAGGCTCATGAGTTGCTTGGCCTGTTCTAAGCTTTTCAGGCAATCAGTCATAGAGAATGGTAGGAAATCCCCATTACTGAATGTGGCTTCTCTCTCAATCTCATCTCCATCATCAGCGGAGTCTGTCTCCGGTTTTCCTGGAATGAAGGAGACTGAAAAGGAACTATGAAATCTGCGGGATTAGCAAATTCCTTATCCCCATTACTGAATGTGGCTTCTCTCTCAATCTCGTCTCCATCATCAGCGGAGTCTGGCTGCGGTTTTCCTGGAATGAAGGAGACTGAAAAGGAAATATGAAATCTGCGGGATTAGCAAATTCCTTCCTCTTGATCTTGTAAGTTGCTCTGGTTACTTTCATGTGGTTTCTTTCAGACTAACAGAACAAATATAGTGTTTAGAATAAACCAATTCGTCAAATTTTAATTGATTGTCTTTGGAGTGGTTTGTGTAAAAATCATTCAATTATTTCTGTAAGAAATAGGTTTTAAGTTGAGGCATGTACAAATTATTTCAATCTCATTAGGTGAACGTGATCAACTGTATAATTTGAGCAGCTGCTTCTTTTTGGGGGTCATTTACATACATTATTACACTATTCTTATGTATTTACACATCTAAATTTTATGTTTACAATTGAAATATGATTTTGCAATTAAAAACTTTCTCATTTCATTAATCTTTTGGTTTATATTGAGCCACACAACATTTACAGATAAACCCTCAGACTTCTTCTATTTACAACTAGAACCCTGCATTAGATACAAATCTCAATACTCCCCTTCAAGGTGGGCGAAAGATATTCACTAAGCTCATCTTGTCACATAATCTAGTTAACTTCACTGAGCTAAGTTGCAATCAGCCACCTGCTCTCCAGTAGCTACTTGAATTAGTTCCAACAATCCGTTATTCAACTTCTCCTTGTTGAAGAATCTATCAATCTCCACATGTTTAGTTCTATCGTGTTGCACCCGATTGTTAGCAATGTTGATAGCCGACTTGTCGCACCACAACTTAATTTGACTTCCCTAGTCCTCTTTGAGTTCGACCAATAAGGCTTTCAATCACATCATTTTAGCAACTCCTAATATCATTGCCTTGTATTCTGCCTCTGCTGTTGGTCTTGCTACAACAAACTGTTTATCGGTCTTCCACGAGACCAAGTTGCCACCTACAAACATGCAGTATCTTGATATGGATCGTCAGTCATTTGCACAGCAGTAAAAGTCACAAAAGCCTTATATGTCCATTGTTCCTGAAGACCAGTCCCTTCCAGGGGGTTTCCCTGGGGCTCTATTCAAGTATATTAGGATCTGATACACTGCATCCATATGCCCCTTGGATCATGCATATAGCAATCACCACACTTATTGTAAAAGAAATATTGGGTCGAGTGTGGCATAAATAGATTAGGTGGCCCACCAATCTCTTGTACCTCTCACGATCAACACGTTCTCTTGCCTGTGCACTCAGCTTGACATTTTTATTAATTGGAGAAATTGCAAGTTTGCACCATCACATATGTTCGAAGGCTTTCTTAAAATTTTTCAGAATTTTCATCAGCTTTTCTTCTTCTTCCTTTGTTAACTTCGAGGAAATTATAACAGGTAAAGTAGAGGAATCTCTTAAAAATGCATATTTTAAATGTTGAGGAAGTAATTTGAACTCAAGTTCTGGAGGTTTTTCAAAAGATGGAGAAAATAATTTTTCTTTGTCTATTGTGTCCAAAATTTCAAAACTTTCTTGAACATAACTTGAATCTTCCTTAAAAAGGTTTACACATTGATCTAATTCCTCTTCTTGCGTGTGTTCCAAATCATTTTCTTTAAATTTTTCTTCTTAAATAGTCTTGAAATGGCATTCACTCAGATATCTTATAACATCCATTCTATCATCCATTCTATAACATTTCATTCTATAACATTTATCATCTTTACCTTTTACAGGGTATTTCATTGATTTTGAAATGTTAAAAGTAATAGTTTGATCATCTGCCATTGCTCTTTCTGTGGCTAGGAAAGGTCTCCCCAAAATGATAGGTATCTCTTTAGCTTCCTCTATATCTAGCATAATGAAATCGACAGGAAAGATAAATTGATCCACTTTCACTAGGACATCTTCTATAACTCTTTTAGGATAGCTTATTGAACAATCTGTTAACTGCAGAGTTACAGTAGTAGGGGTTATTTCTCCTAATCTTAATCTTTTAAATATTGATAATGACATAAGGTTAATGCTTGCACCTAAATCA